TCACCTATTTACCATTAGACTTTCATTAGGTATCACCTATTTACCATTAGACTTTCATTATCTATCACCTATTTACCATTAGAGTATCATTAAGTATCACCTATTTACCATTAGACTTTCATTAGCTATCACCTATTTACCATTAGAGTATCATTAGGTATTACCTATTTACCATTAGACTTTCATTAGCTATCACCTATTTACCATTAGACATTCATTAGCTATCACCTATTTACCATTAGACATTCATTAGCTATCACCTATTTACCATTAGACTTTTGCTGCTTCGGATTATCTTTGAGTTTTCTACCAAAGGAGTTTGAGTCGCTTGTGTGATTGGATGACGTGCAGGTTCGACCTTTAAAAATATTAAAATATATGAAACAAAAACTTATAATCATAAAATGTAATAAAAATTATGAAAATATAGCATTTATTCAATGTTCGTGAGAAAGTGATGTGTAAGAATAATAATTATTAAAAACTAACATATAAAATGTCGCCTCTTTCTGCTAATTAACTCAACATAGATATTTGTATGAAAAATAAAATAAAACAATTAAAAAAATCAACTAAAGGCAAGATAGAGATAACTTTTGGTCGAAAGGTTTGCTAGACAAACACAACTACATTATAAACATTTAATGGAAGCACAATGCCTGTCTATTGTTTATCGCCTCCTAGTGGCACAGCGGTATGTCTGCGGACTTACAACAACAGAGACTTGGTTTCAATACCGTGGTGGGCAGAGCACGGATAGCCTATTGTGTAGCTTTGTGCTTTACTTCAAACAAAACTGTTGTTTATCAACAGAAATATAGTTTGCTTGTTGTTTTTTGTGAGCACAAAGCTACGCAATCGGCTAGCTATATTGTGTCCACTGTGAATATCGAACCTCTATTTTAGCGTTATAATCTCTCAAACTTATATACATATTTAGAACAGTATACGGCTTAATAGAAATACTATGAATAGTACCATTGCCTTAAAAGTGCAAACGAAACATAAAGACTTAATAATCATTTAGCTAAAGAATTTCCCAATGTATGATATCACACACACACACACCCATGGACACAATATACACATCTAATAAGCAGAACTCAAACAGTTGAAGACTAATCTTTCTCTCTTTATCATAAGAAATATAGACGATGTACGTCGGTTGTCAAGCATCAGAATAAACCATGAAGGAAAAGGATATTGAACCAAAACAACTCGTAAGTCTAGTAAGTAGTTGCGCTAGTAACAGGTTGAACGTGCGTTATTACCCTTGTCAAGAAAGATAGTAACTTATTACAAGAAACAAGCAGATTCATACATATGTAAACTCGTCCAGGGTTTCTCCACCACCACAACTACTCGGTTTGCTAATATTATACAATAGATATTAGATACAAGAATTACGTTTGGTGCGACCAAACAACCCATTACGGCATTTATTAAGTATGTTTTATATAAATTGTTTGATATGAATACCTTTAAACCTATACTATCTCGAAGTTGAGGTAAATTTTTGCACGACTAATTTACAAACGTGGCTGTAGTTTAGCCAAAATCTGAAGCTTTGAATTGATTAACAACTTTTTTTTCCAAATAAGGAACGAATGAAGTTTGATTATCAAAATGCTTTCAAATAAAAAAGTGATTTGCTTTTGGCTTAAAGACAGACATCTTTTCTTAAATGGTTGTAAAAAATATATAATAGTTTTCATAAATATTTCTCTGGAATTTTTGGTGTGTTTTAAGAATGGACTATTTGTGTTATTTATATCAACGTAGCTCAAAAACTCTGTCCTTATGCTAACCAATGAAATGAATACTGAGAATTATAATATAGACTTTGTCACTGCAATTGGTTACAGTACCTGCCCAATAAGCAGAATTATATGTTCGAGCCTTTCACAAATTAGTTTCACTTAGAAAATTCTGTTTCTGACATTTGCTGAATCCTTAAAGGTATTGTTACAGGTTTAAACTACATGTACGATTGTCAAAAATCTATTGAAAATGTTACAAGCTTAGAGACAATAGAAAAATTAGTGTTCTGCCTTAAAATATTTATATTTTCTAATATATAAAGAACCAATCAAACTTTCCCATAGGTACAATCACCTTTAAACGTTGTTTTAGCGCAAACAATAGACTATCTGCGTTCTGTCCACCATGGGCAATTGAATCCCGGATTTTAGCATTGTTTTAGTCTTGTAAAAATACCCAGTTGATTAAAGAACAAACCAAAAAAATTGAACGAATTCACTTATTTTCTATGTAAAATATACATAGGAAACCCAAGCAGTAGTTGCTATGAATTAACCGTAAATAGATGGTATTTTTGTGTTGTTTTATTTTGAGGTTAAACTGATTTCCTCAAAGAATATTAGGTTACTAAGCTTTATAACTGGAGAACTGATAAAATAAATTATGAAGTGATGCTGAATTTCTGCTGTCTAAGTTTTAAGCTATGACATAAAGAAACTGGACACGATTTGTGAACCAAAATGAAAACAATATTTATTTAGACACAAAACATAGTGTGCATACTTTTTTGGATACTGAACGAGTTTTTTATGCCCCAGTGGCACAGTGGTATGTCCGCGGACTTAAAACGCTAGAATCCGGGTTTCGATACCCGTGGTGGGCAGAGCACAGATAGCCCATTATGTAGCTTTGTGCTTAATTACAAACAAACGAATTTTTAATTGATCAATAAGTTTTTTTCCCTCTACATATCTTCCCGTCAAACATCTTACTTGAGATCATGTGTAGTAGTGTTTAAACCTACTTGCGCTGGACACCGGACGGTCATCTTTTTCTGGACTTGGGAATTGATCAACAAATTTTCTTCCCACTAAACAACTATTTAAAGCTAACGCTTTTTACTTATCACGAAATGTTAAATTTACCCTTAGCTACTAATGCTACCACGTGACTGGTCATTCTCATTCGACATAGGAGAGGCCGTAACCTATAGATATCATCTGTGCTATCAATGAAGGATAATGTTATCATCTACAATCTTGAAAAATGTGCATCGTTACAGCAAAATAACTAGTTGGCTGAACAGGAATTATCTCTAGAGAACAACAAAGGAACAAAATCTGCTAGAATCAAGCCGAATTAACGGTTTTCTCGACCACGTGTTTTATGCACACAAAAAAGGCATAAATTTAAAATTGGCGAAAGTTTTCGAAAACGTCTAAACTAAAATAAGGACATAGAATACACATGGTATATATACCTGTATGTAACCAATAAAGTAATGGACCCACAAGCAATTTGGTGCATAAACAATTTAGAAAAGTCTATTTAGAAAGATGAAATTAGCTCCGTCAGTAATTCGATAAGGTTAATCTTCTTGGTGTATAGATGCTACTTTGTTAGTTTGTTTGTAGTTAAACACAAAGCTACACAATGGGCTATCTGTGCTCTGCCCACCACGGGTATCGAAACGCGGTTTCTAGCGGTACAGGTCTGCAGACATACTACTGTGCCACTGGGTGGAAAATGCTACTTTCTTGAGAGATTTAAGTTCACAGTACTTAATCATATTTGAATTGAGAATATAACTACAAGTAATAGTATAGTTTATTTGTTAGATATAAAGATGAATGCATAAATAATGTAAAAAACAAACAAACAGTTTTATAAAATGAAGCCGATTGGAATACAAATTTAGTTAAAATACGATTGAAATTCATTAGGGTTTACCAATACGCTTTGTTGCCAAGCAATAATCTTTCGTAAAACATCCTTGTATGGAAAATAATAGAAGCAAAAACATTAACACTGGTGACCACTGGAGCGAACACTACTAGCCATGCGATTAGGCGATTTGCTATAATTTTTTTGTCTGGTGGAAAATTTTAATTTGTTAAAACGAATATTTCAAGTTCAAGAACAAATTAATAAATAAATAAAAATTCTGATATAAGCCACTTGCTTCATTCGAATGGAGAAAGGGGTGAGATTCATCAAGAATGAGAGAGCACGTGCCACCAGAACATTAACTTCTTGTTCAGAGTCCAAGTTTATTAACCTCTTTTAACACCACGTAATTCCCAACTGCCCACGTGAGTAAAACTTTCATAAGTTTTATAACTTATGTTATTGGTTACATTACGTAGTTCTCCAAATGTTGTTGGTTTTGAAGGATCCTACTTCTTGCAAAACCTTTCTTACCGTGTTAAGTCCGAGAAATATTTTATAGTTAAAGTAATTAATTATGTAAGTGTGCTGAGATTAAATATCCTAAGTTAAACTATTAACTTTTTAAATTAACAGTTATAAAAAGATGTGAAAAGAGAGAGCCTTATTTCAAGTCCTATATATTACGTTACCTTACAGTTACTTGAAAAGAAGTAAAAATTTCAAAATATTTTACAACCATAAAAGTTTTTACTTATAATTATGTGTATTAATAAAAACTATTTGATATTTATAGTACTAAGTGCACACGCATAAATAAATAAATACTTATTTTCAATATGAGAATTAAACAAAATGATTGAAAAAGAAGTAAAACAGTATGAAAAAGATGGCAGCATTCAGCGAGGATCTTGAGAAGAAGACGCATCAGGGTGGACTCCGCGCTTGTTACTGATGTTTCAACCTTCTGCTCAACCACAGGAAATAACTCATACAAATACGCAGTTATGTTAGCATATCTGTAAAAATTGTTAGATTTTATTTAGGTTTCTTAACATCGGCCTTCTGCGATAAATAGACTAAGTTCACATTTGATAATTGTTTTAAATGTTGCTTATCTCAATTCAATAATTATTTTGTTAAGAAATGGTAAAAAACAACAACTAAAATCCAATTAAGTATGGAATCATTTGAGAGTGGCTTAATTTTAATTTCGAATTAACTTGATTTCATTAAATATTTTTCTTGAATATAAATAAACAAAGTCATTGTAAGAATTACAATGACACCCAGTTTCTCGCTAATAAGTCTGACAGCTTATAGCGCTAAAATTCGGGTTTCGATACACGCGGTGATCAGAGCACAGATTGTCCATTATGTAGCTTTGTACTTAACACCAAATAAACAAACAAGAAATAATTATAAGTTATGGTTTAAACGCCGAAAGCTGGCGAAGCATTACATACCAACAGGTCTAATATTTTTGATGAAAATCACGTAAAGTGAACCCTACCAGTTATGAAGAAAATAAATCATTTCCAGTATATTAAATTTGAAGTGCACTTAATTCTTTCTCTCAAAGGAAGAACGACGTATTCGAGTAGCAATTAAAAATACCCTTGAAATACAGATTGTGAAAAAAATTGTACAGTTTTGAAAAACCAAGTTGTAGAAATTCTGCTGAACTATATAACTATTCAATTCATTCTAGCTTATGTAAATATTTAGTAAGTGTAACAAGTCGTTTTAAGTACAGTTATAAAAGAAAGTCTTGGTTTACAAATGGGGACACACACACACACAATTACACAACATATTTATAGGAACAGACTTCAATTTATTTGTATAAGAAAGCAGTTAAACAACAATGTGAAACATGTTTGCCGTGACACTGTATTCTGTACATGCACTATATTTTAATTACGCGTCCTTCATGAAAAAGACGCTTATGGAAAATACCGAGTGAAAAACCACCCAACACATTGCACGTAAAGTTTATCATTCTATATTAACATTAAAGATTTTACATAAATACCAGTACACAATATATTTATATATATATAATTGCTTATGAAACTACGAAAGGAAGGTAAATAGGAAACGTGGAAGAATCTTAAAACCTTTTAAAATATTGTTTTGAACATTTTCCAAAACCACACAATGAGTAAGAGATAATGAGGCTCAAGCATAAAATGATGTAATTTGCGAAAGCCAAATAGATTTAACATTTAATTGTGCATCAGGATTGCTTGATATACGAGCGGAAAATGGCATTTTTTAGAGTACAGGGGAATAACTGAAAAAAAAAAATTGAAAGAAAAACAACTATAATACAAGATGCTCTGATTATTACGTATAGAATTATGAAACCGTTCAGTGAAAAATTTTTTGTTCGTTTGTTTACTTTTTGCGCAGACCTACACAACGGGCTATCTTCGCTATGCCCACCTCAGGATTGAATCACAAATTTTAGAATTATAAGCCCTTAAGCTTACCGCTGAGTCACGAGATATACAAATCTTTATAAAAAAGCAGGAAGTTAGATAACTAACATGCAAGTTAAAAATTTTACAATGGGGCACAGCAAGCTCAAGCAGAAAACAGTAAAATAATCTCCGTTCTGAATTTTTAATGTGGGTGATATTAGGTTACTTAACTGAGGGTAAATATTTCACTGTTCAGTGAAGTATGGATGAGTTGAATTTATTTAATGATGTTCATAATTTAAAAATATTTGACGTGATCTGTTTGTTTGTTTCAAAATTTTCATGCAAAAATACACAAAGGCTATCTGTGCCTAACCGTCTTTAATTTTGAACTGATAACAGCCATCGTAAACTCTTTGACTGTTCTAATTTGGTCTAATTGTAGGATTTGAACTCACTTTCATAGAGAATCCCCGGATCCACAATCCGAACACACTTATCATTAGATCACGTCCGGAACCTTACGCTTGATATAAATCTCTAAGATTCCAGATATGTAAAATCTATGAAGAGTATAAAACGTGGGTTTGTTTATATACCATCCACGTTTAATATACTTGTTGCATATCTTGACATAAGCTGAAACTCTTTCACTGCAATCACAACAGTTCTTTATACTATAACTTTTCTTGTCCTAGATACTAGAATTTTTGTATTAGTATTAATCGCCCTATTTATCTCATTTTCTTGATATTTTATTATTTTGTTTGTTTTAGTCCAAAGCTACCTACGCTCTGTCCGCCAGGGGAAATCGAAACACGAATTTTAGCGTTGTAAGTCCATAAATTTACCGCTGACCCACTGGAGGACATTTTGTAGTTAATAGACAGTTCAGAATAAAATGATTTAGTTCAAACACACAGACAGTTAGTAATCTACGCCTCCTTCTTTGGGATGGCCTGACACAGAAACAACCACACAAGTATGTAATAACTCGTGGAAGGCTCCAAGAAGATATCGTATGATTCAAAGCACATTACGTTTACCTTATCATTTGAACTCTATGAGAAATCTTAGGACTTCTTGCGTGTTACTGATATTTAACACGTGACTTTGTTCGGACAAACTTTAACCTCCACATTGGGAAGCACTGAAATTACAGCACACGTGCAAGTGGTTTTAATGTATCACCGAGTGATGTCACAGTAAAACTTTTTATCAAATGTTATTACGGGAAGTCAAAATCAAACATCAAAATTCTATTGAAAGTGGTAAGCATTTTTCCGCAAACTAATTAAGAAATTTATAGAAAGATTAAACACACACATAGAAAAATCAAACAAACACTACCATAAAAATAATTTCAACACACATATGTAGGATATAAACACTAAATTATTTGTTATTTTACTTTTAATAAAATAAACACGCTTTTCCTATTTGAATTTTGTAGCATTTGGTAAGCTTAGTTTTGGTTGTTCGTAATAGAAATAAACTACGGGATTCAAGAAAGGCCACCCCCCCCTCCCCCAGTGGCACAGCGGTATGTCTGCGGACTTACAACGCTA